TAAACAATTGAGTATATTGTATAAAAAACAACAAGACACTTATCGAGAAAGTAAATAGTAATCATAATAGTAATGACTTAAGTGGGTAATTGAAAATTATTGTGTTTTTTTCTGTAATTTAAATTGTCTAAATTGTAATCATAATAATAATAATAATAATAAGTAGGCTTTAACCTTATGGTAAGAGAAAGTTTACTATTATGCTGAATAGCCAGTTCATATGTATATACACTGATAAAAATGAGAAAAGAAAACCAATTATGGAGTATGAAAATTAATTACCTGACCAAGTGCAAATTATATGAAATTTCTTCATTGACAAGCACCAATGTGAATGTAAACGTGAATTGTTATTTCATTCATACACAAGTCGTCATAGTGTAACATCAATAATGATATCAGTTGATTGCGTAAATCACTTTTCAATCCTACCTAAAGTAATAATAATAATAATAATAATAATAATATAGTCACTAGTGATTGATTTCGGTATTATTCGCCATCTGTTGAATTAATCTAGTTAGGAGAAATAGTGATTACTTAATTGGGATATTTTTAAGAAAAAATCTTACTGTACTACCAATTCATTGTGGTGTATGCTACTTATGCTGACAGATATAAGTAGTATCTATCACCGGTCAGGAATCAAATGCCTGTTAGCTGAAGAATGAAATGAAGAATTAAGTGAAAAGAACTTGAAGCAATCAAAAAAACAACAGTAATGAAAAGACAATAAAGTTTGAAAGAGAGACAACAGATAAATGATACGCAGTTTTCATATCTTACAAAGACACTCTGTAATTTTGCATTAAACAATGAAATGGTTATTCTTACCAAGTCTTCATTCATGGAAACCAGTAATTAGATTTCATGTGATTAGTTTAATAGAACAACAGTTGAATTTTCTAAAAAAAAGAAAAGTTAAGTCTCAATCTTAGATAACATCATAAATATACCTATCTGAAGAGTTAAAATAAAATAGCTATATCAGTATAGGTTTGTGAGGATTATTAAGTTTTTGACTGAGATCACGAATTGATTAATGTTAAGCCATCGTTGGAAACCTTGAAGCACTGAAGGACCGTTTCGTCCTATTTTGGGACTCCTCGTGGATTGATTGAAGTTAGACACAGTTGAATGCCGATCGGCTCAGTGGTCTAGAGTTTAAAAGTTTGCGCGCAAAACTGAAGGCCCTGGGTTCAAATCCGGGATAGGGGATGCTTACTGATAAGTAGTCCCACAGTAGGAAGAAACGGCCGTCCAGTGTTTCTAGGTTTTCACTTATGGTCTAACATTAATCAATTCATGATTTCAGTCAAAAAAATAGTTATATCCTATTTTGCCTTGTTTTCACTGATTCTACATTTGATTTCATTTATTTACAAGAATGATATTTCTATTTTTAATAAGTTTACAAAATCATTTTTGATAAATAATAATAACTGATTATTGATTTTTTATTATGATTAATTTTCAGCACGAAAGCAGTCTACATTCTTTTTTTTCTTCGTTTTTCTTTTTCTTTTTTTTCTTTTCTAATTCTCGTTATCTTATGTTTTTCTCATTCCTTGAAAAATAATGTACGTTCTATGTTTCAATTTTTATATCCCAATCTAACTTCGTGAACACATGCACATTTATATAGAGATATAGTTATAGACAAACTAATAGAACTATGTACTATTCCATCTATTATTCATCTCTTAGTTTTGTTCTCTCTCTCTCTTTCCCTCTTTCTCTCTCTCTCTCTCTCTCTTGCTTTCCCTTTCTCTTTCTCTCTCTCTCTCTTCCAATCTGTTTTAATTTTTTACTTGAAGAAATCTTAAACTTTCTATTGATATTATTGTGAAATGGTAATAATAATGATAATGATGGACAGTTTATGTATATATATAAATGGAATAAAACTAGAATTACTTCTATTTAATAATGAGGAGTTATAATTTTTTTTCTTTTAATACACAGATTGTGTGATTGTAGAAAAGAAAAAACAAAAAGAAACATATTGGAAAGAGTAAATCTTTTTTCTCTGAAGGACATTTTCTTTTTCCTTTTTTTCTTTTTTTTTCTTTTTTCTTAATATATCCATGTGTATGTATGTATTGATATATTGAAAAATGAAGGATATGTAAAGTAGACTTTCTATTCTTGTATCTTAGTGACCTATTCACATAACTTGTATTGATAGCCCATAGTGTTAATAAACTATATTGAGTAAATACTGAATGATAATTTCATACATACAATGTACTAACATAATATTTATCATCCAAAATGATGGTTAATTTTTGTTTAAAGAGGAATGATATAGTGTCGTAGAGTTTAGTTCTTTCAACTTTCAATTATTAAATCATAGTTTTGCGCTTTATTTCACTTAATTTGGTTAATACAACTGAGTACTATCAAAAGATTTTATGCAAAATAGTGTAGTCTAAAACTGTGTATGTAAATTTGTACTTGTTAATGATTTATTTTCTAACTAGTATTATATTATAAAATGTACACAATAATTTACAAGATTCACCAGGGAGTCACTTTAACCTATTCATTGAGATCATGAATCGATCAATGTTAGACTATCACTGAAAAACTGAAAGCATTAGATGAATGTTTCATCTTAGTATGAGGTTCTTCATTGGCGTGAATCCATGATCCTGCACGCGGGAGAGTCAATCACGCGAAAACGCTTAACTTTTGAATCACTCAGCCGGGATCCTATAGTGTTAATGTCTAGCTTGAACCAATCCACGATATTGTGTGACCACTTTTTCATATTAATTAAACAGCCAGTAAAATGAGTAACACGAGTTGAAATATCTTATTTCGACGTGAACTATGATTATTATATAATTTCGAATAGGTATGTACGATAGCGACTCTTCTACAATCAATTTCCATTATGGTTAAATTTTATTAAACCCCTTTTATTAACTTAACAGACTATGTTATTCGAACAGTAACAATTCGCATATTTCTTTGTACTATTATGATCACTATTATATCTGTATAAACGTGTACACTTGATCACATGATACCCTACGTACATATCTCTCTGTAAATAAAGTGATAAACGCTTAAATATCTCTCGATAATTCATTAACTTTCCCATGTATATCTGTACTCGAATCCCATTATTAGTTTTTGCATTGCTTTCCTGTTGCGTTATGCTATTTGGCTATAAATTTGCCTCTGTATTCGCTCACATACACATATTCACCTTTGTGCTTCAAATATGCTCGATGTGTTTGTAGCTTTGTGATCTGCGCTATCCGCTAATAAACTGTAGTTGCCTCTTCTTATTGACTTCTGATTTCAAACGCCGTTGAGATTTATATAATAACGGTTATCACAGTGATTGATTAACGAGACTAAGCCACTTCAATATTCTAGAAGAATAATTTTTATTATTATTATATGTTATTATGTATTTTATTGTAATAAATGAGATTGACATCTTATAAAAAATATACTTAAATCTATAAAAGTATGAATGAAATTAGATTCACTACATTTTCCAATCGTTCTATTTTCATAGTTTCTATTTGTTGGTTGCTGATGCTAATAACTGTATTTGAATAATTCAATGTTGGTAATGATGTCCTCTAAATAGAATACCTTAATATAGTATCCAATAATAAATTGTTATTGCTTGAAATTTGTATAGTGGTTAGCAATAGAATGGAATACTTAAGTTAAACCTTGTTTTAAATTAATTGACTGATAGATTATCCATTACATTGAGACTTTAATGCAGTATTTATTAAGCTATTCAAGTTATGATATACATTAACTTGCATATTACCTTATTCTGGTTAGTGATTTTTAAGCAAGGTTGTTTATTTACAGGATAGGGTTGTTGACCCCATACCCAACCTTCTTCATTTACCCAGGCAGGTAGCAACCCTATAAGAACTACGGATCAAGTTAAATTGTTTACTGGTATGAATTTAATTTTTGTTTGTCATCGATATAAATCCGACCGTCGTTACTACCTTGACGTGATGGTAGGACTTGCCTATCGTGATAAACCAATCTAACTATACTGTCTGGAACAATAGTTCCTCAGTGTCCTACCATGCAAGACGGGTCGGTTTAAGAACGGTAAAGCTAAAAGCAACAAACCCAAGGTCCAAAGGCGAAGTCATACTGCTGACTGTACAGTTGTTTAATGGTAGTAAGGTGTTTCCTTCAGGAAACCAACATAACAGTGATGATGTCTTCCCACAAGGATGGGTGGGGTTAGAAAAGGTCAACCCTTAGAATGCACACCTCTCCTTATCCCACGGATTTCCGTCTTTGACCACAAGGTCTCAACAACTACGGAACGAACACAAAAATCGCCTCAAGCAATTATCCCTTTAGCACTGCGGTCAATCTCTCAGGTCACTAAGACCACCCCCTAACCTAACCTCCTTTTTAGGTACCTCAAGAAGAAACTTTTCATGATGTGGGTAACGAGGAATTGATAACCACTCAAGATCGATACAAACAATTGATTTTTTAATTTGTCATTTAAAGTGATAATCAATAAATAATCCTTTTATTTTAATATTTTCATTTCAGCATATTTTTTTGCATTTTTAATCTTATCAAGTTTTATATTAATCTAATAATTATGAATTTATTAAAATATACAATAAAAAGGAAACATTACAAAGTTACTATGATATCATTACGTAATATGAAACTAATTATAAGTTTATTATTATATTTTTATTCAATTAATTCACCTAAATGTTATGCATATTATAATATGAACATAAAACATAATCCATTATCATCTGAAATAATATCCAAGAAGAATACATTAAAACAATATGATTATCCATCAAATAATGTTCATGAATATTCAGATTATACAAAACATGATTCATTAATAGATAATTCTTTAATGATGTCTTCTTTGAATGATGTATTCTCATCTTCATCACCATTATTATCTTCTTCGTTATTGCCGTCATCATCATCTTCGTCTTCTTCTGGATCTGCATCTGCACATCATCATCATCATCATCATCATCTCATGGTGAAATCGAAACACATCGTTGTGAACCAATTACATTAATATTATGTAAAGGAATGTATTATGAATATACAAGATTACCTAATATGTTTCATCATGAAACACAAGAAGAAGCTGGTTTAGAAGTATGTTTCTTCTATTAGTTTTAAATGTTTGCTTTAATAATATATTAGTAATGGATTTTGTTTGATGTTAACTGGTTAGAATTAAAAGCGAAGAAAGATCTAGAAAAAAAAGTTATATTTTAATTGACAATAGTTACTATGATTTATCTTACGATATCATTGAGTGTATTAGTGGTTTTAACTAAATAACTTACATCAAATTTCAAGAAGAACACTATAGAAAACTTCATGGTTCTTTTAAACAAATTATGCACTTCTAAGGAGTCAGATACTAGGACGAAACGTCTGTTTAGTGCTTCTAGGTTTTCTATTATGGTTTAACTTTAATTAATTCATGAATTTAACTATTAAATTCTAAATTGTTATCATTCATAATAAGTCATATGAATGTAGATTTACAGAAGAATTGACTGCTATATACAACTTTAAATATGATTAAGTTTATTGAACATGATCGATTAAATGAAAGAGTTTCATGTTCATTCTGAACAGTATCAATAACGTTACTTCACTGTGAACATCTATTTATGCTACCAACCTTCATTATATTTGATAATGTTTAACAGAAGATTTAACTAGCCTAGTAACAATATATTCGGTCATGGATTAAATTATTTGACATAACATTCATTCTTTGTGTGTTCATTTACTAAAAACTATCTACTTTATATATATATATATATATATATATATATATATATATATATATATATATATATATATATATATATATATGTTCATGACGTTCTAGTTTGACACTTTTTGATAATGCACCTTCAAAAGTGAACTGAACTTTGTCAGTACATAATAACAGTAAATCTTTAAGAAATTTTACAGGAACACGTGATTGAAGTTTGTTTACAGATATGTAATCACATAATATATCAATAGTTTTTCTCAAAGGTACATTTGTAAACAAGGAATTCACATCAAATGAACACATTGTCTTTTCATTGATATTAATATCACCTAAATGATCGACCAGTTCAAAAGAGTCCTTTAGAGAATACTTATATAGATGTCTTCTGATAGGGTCCAATAACTTTGTTAACCATTTAGCCAGGTTATGTGTAGGTGATCTGCACATTGATAGAATTGGACGTAAAGGTATGTTTGGTTTATGAATTTTAGGTAGTCCATAGAAATGGTGGTGTTATATAAAAGTGTAAAAGGGCGTATACTAAGGTTTATTGAAGCCTTAGCCATACGAAAATTCAAACCCACTTTGTGTATTCAAAAACAGTTTGTTCTTACCTTAAACCTACCCTGGTAATATTGACTTATTATCCAGAGTGATTAGGTTTTGAATTGTGTTCAGATTATTATTATTAATATTATTATTATTATTATCATTATTATTATTATTACTCTTATTATTATCCTTATCTCCTCTTACCCCATTTCCAGTCTAGGTGACCTTTTATTTTTATATCTAAAAGCTCTTAACAAGTATATGTGTGATCAGATTGTTCGAAATGTATTGCGCTAATATATCACATAGTTTTGATAATCTCCGTTTTCTTATTACATTATCGAAATATCAAGTATGTATTATCAAATAAATGCAACAATCATGAAAACATCAAAATCTAAACATTTTTATTATACTAAACTAAACAGATTAAATTTAAATAAGTTTTAACTTATGTAACAATAAATCCTGAAGTTCTAGTGAGAAGCAGTGACCAGTAGAGTTCGACCGGGTCAGTTGTGAGATAGTAACTCACTAAAGACAATGGTAGATATGTCGCCGAATTTCGTGGATTAGTTGAAGTTAGGCATTAACACCGCTAGATGCCGGCTCAGTGGTCTAGTTGGTTAAGCGCCTTGCGCGAGATTGATAGATCCTGGGTGCGCAATGCTGAGGAGTCGCACAATAGAATGAAACGACCGTCCAGTGCTTTCAGGTTTTCCATGATGATCTAGCTTCAATTAACTCATGATCTCAACTATTGAAATTACTATAATCTCCACAAAACCCCTTCTGATACAAATCATGAAACTTATAAATCGAGTAGAAATTATTCTATTCTGTTTTAGGTTATTTTTATTACCCTTAAATTTGTTGATTAATAAAATGTTTTTAACGATTATCAGTTGTGTGATTTCTGTTCCTGGCATCATTTTGTGTAAAAAATGCTTAGTTGCTGCGTAATTCTTTTTCGTTGATGAACACATCTCAGCACAGATACAAACGGCTTGACTAGCTTTTTCCAACTTGCGTCATTTATGGCGTTTTCGAGTCTTAGTCATGTTAACTTCTAGTCTTAGCCATGTTGGTAGATGCAGACTACTTGGTTGGGGTCCGCGTGACTATCGTAAAAAATGGTTGGAGACTCATGGTGGCATGGCTCAGAGTCGATCACATTCTTCCTTCCCTTAAACAACGAAATTAAAATTATTTCATATCTTTCTTTCTACGAACTAATTCTTTCTTTCTGTACTATATCCTTACATAAAATCTTTCCTTTATATATTACACCATTGAGTTAACTGCTTCTATGAATTCGGTGTTCATCTTGTTGTGCTAATGAGGTGTGGCAACTTGGACCGAGGCATGTATGTGTCTGGTCCTACGTTGTAACTGACTGACTGACATTTATAGCATAGGCGAGATATCCATCAATTAACCAAGGGAGTGGTTTACTGCACAGCAGTTCGTTCCGTCCTATTTTATGTGACTGTGAAACATGGCCGGTAAGAGCAGAGGGTATTCGTAGGTTACTAATATGTGATGACAGGTGTCTTCGAAACATTGCTCGTTTATCCTGGGACCACCGAGTAAGCTACTCAGTTGTTAGGAAACGGGTACTAAGTAAAAATGGCAAATCAATTGATGAAGTAGTGAAACTTAATCAGTTGAGATGGCTAGGGCAAGTGTTATGTATGCCCAACCACTGACTGCCCCGACGTGCGATGTTTTATGGTGTAGGAGTAGGTTGGAAGAAAGCTAGAGGTGGCCACAACAAAAAATGGCACAAATCCATGAAATCACTGACAAGTGGACCGAGCCATATTGGTAGGTGCAGACTACCTGATTGGGATCCACGAGATGATAGTAACTGATGGTTAGAGACCCTGAATGACATGGCTCAAAATCGTTTGTAATGGCGCAGATGCATCCACTCTTTGTGTTTTTCCAAATTTATTTCCCTGAATTATACTCCTTGAATAACATCTTCATACCCTGATGTTTCCGATCACTGTTTATACTTTTACTACATCTACGAAGTTCTACGTTGTTACTGACTGACTAACTGACTGATATTTTCTCACCTTATTGTTTTTTATATGATTTATTTTTACTAGATTGGTATTCTGTAATGCGAAAAAAAGGTTTTGGTAATTTCAATCACCATTTTTTTATTCTCAAGTCGTTTATGATAACTTTGAAAGTATTGATGAGATAGTTATCTTTTCATGTAATTCTTGTAATGATGAGTTTGTATTCATCAAGTAGTCATTGCTTATGTGGAAGCTTTTGATATATTTTTTTGATCAATATGTTTATGTGTAGGGTTTTTTTTCATAGCTTTTCAATGTTGTATACATTCCAATCAAATCGATCGATTAAATGGTTTGAGTTAGACAGTAAGTTTTGAAATAAAGATGTTTCTAAGTATATTTCTCACTATGTTTTTAACTTTTTTGGGGCTTCGATAACTCACTTAGATATTACATGTTTTCTGAAGTCTGGATTGATGCGTTAGTGGTTAAGCCTTCCGAATTTCATTTGTAAAGTCGCAGGCTCAAACCTTGTTCAAATCAACTTCGGGCAACTAAATAGTATCATTAGCTCTAACTTGAATCCAAGTGTATGACTCTATACCTGAAAAATGCTATACACTTCATACTAATATATTTCGTAACAGTACAGTTTAGAATTCTAAAACGTCAATGATAGGAAATAGAACATAGGGTTTCATTAAAATATCTATCTAGATAAGGCATATATTAAAAGAAAATTAGTATAAAATCAGATTCTTCCACGTTTATAATTATAGTCATTAATAATGAAGAGAATGGAGAATACTAGTAGTCGACCTAATATTCCTTTATGATGGGGGTAATAAGCGTAAGTAATAAGTAACTGTATAATCAAGATATAGTTTGTTATCAGTAATTAAGAACAAATAAAATCTTCGCTATCAATTACAAGTATCTATGGATATGTATCATTAAAATGTTTTCTATTATAAAATAATATTTTTTTATTTTTATGATGTAAAACTATATTACTTATTTAAATTAGACATAAAAAACATGGAAAAGTTTTCTTCTTTATATACGTAAATATGATGATGATGATAACAATAATAAAATATATTTGTATATTACTATCATTGTTATCATTATCACTATTATTATTATTGGGGTTAGTAGTAGTAGTATTAGTAGTAGTAGTAGTAGTTTTAGTAGCAGTAGTAGTCGTAATAGTAGTATGGTTCAACAAACCATAAAAATAGGATAGATATTTCGAAATATAAAGAGAATAGACCACACATGTATTTATTCATGTATATATCAGTGCAGATATTTTATCTAAATAACTAGGTATTGGGAATTGTTTGATAAATAGGTACATATATAACATGACTGATAGGGGTATATTTACATTGAATAGGTGAAACTATAGATTTATTATTTTGGTACTATTACTATTATTATTAATACTGATAAAAAAAAGAATATTGCATTTTATCAGTAGTATAGTAGGTAATAAGTGTACTTGATAAGCATAGAATATTTATAGTTCAATGTTCTATGTTATTCTTCAAAGACAATACGATTTATTTACATTTTATTTACTACAAGATATACAAAAGAATGTGATTACGTTATAAAGTTATACTGATAGCATATCATTTATTGTTACTAAGGCTTTATTGAAGATAAACTTTATATTGATACAGGAATGAAGTAATAAAAATTACCCAAAATTTCAATACTTATTACTTGTAAATGATAGTAAAAGTTTAAGTTGGGTATTTACTAAATTT